AGTGGAACAAGTAGAAATTTCCAGCACAAAGCGAGACCAGCCAATATTTTTTTCTCTCTTTTTAGGGTAGAAGAATGTCGTGCAATCAGACGGGGCGTACAGGACAATGGGGAGTCTTTATGCGTAAATAATGTTTCCCGTCTGGTAGCTTAGAAACTCAGTATTGCGGTATTGCGTGTTTACTCGCCGCACTGAGTAGACTGGTGACCGAAATATTCGTTTCGTTATAATTTTATATCAGTTCTCGCGATAAAACATGTCGCCAAACAATAACTATATATTCTATAACATTTTCGTATTAAGTCAGCCCTCGATAAACTCATCCTAGAAAAATGTACACAAAAAAAAAAAAAAAAGTGACGAACGTCACGCCATTTTGAAGGACGATTGTTTGAGAGTGCGTAGACGAGTTGTAAAGCCACTCGTGATCCTTCGTCATTTACGCCCGAGTTCATTCGTGCAATCGGTTTGATCGAATTCGCCCGGCACTCTCCCGTCATGATTACTTTTTTTTTTTGTAATGTGTGTCTCATACATAATTGCATGAATGGATGAATGACCATGGCTGAATTGTTTCAGTCGGGCTGCGACTGCGGCTTAAATAAAGTGGCTTCTTTCTTTATTCTTTTTTTTTTTTTTTTAAGTTTGGATATATTTGTTTTGCACCTGCATGTACGACCACTACATTCCATCTCACAAGCTCTGCTCATTGCTGGCGGAGCGGAATGCTTTGTTTGCACGAGCGGTCGGGTGTGGAAAGCGCTTACGAAAACGACGTGCTCGCGCACGTGCCTTTGCCAGCGCCGAAGACAACTCGCGAAAGGGAGTGTAGCACGTACCTTTTATTTCTGACGTTGTTTTTTCCAACAGACAATCCTGCATTCTCGCTCACACTGTCGAAGCGCCTTAAAGAAAATCCTTGACGGCGGGCGAATAAATAAACGAAACACAAATTCAATGATTTTGTGTGTTCGTTCGTTTGCTCGTTCGTTATATATCGCACGTGGAGAGGAGATTGTTGTAGCGTAGAAAGAGACAGTATAAAGCATGAGGATGGACGAGAGCAAGGGTGTGACGTTGACGTACCGCTAGTCGTATATCAACATGTCTCCGCGTTCGTCGAATTCTCCCATCTTTTTCTCGATCTAAAACCCCTTTCGGTTTCGTAGCGAGTTGTTTCGCTGTTCTTTCTGGGCGGTGCTTTTCTTCCCTTCGTTTTTCTTTATTCTTCTCGCTGCTGTCTCGTCTTCTCGTTTGTGTGTGTGTGTGTGTGTGCGTGTGTGTGTGTGTGTTTGCGTGTGTGTGTGTTTTTAATTTGATGCGAAGACGATGAAAGGGGTAGCTCATACCAGCACGCGCGGACTTGCAACGCTTGCAAAACCGAGATGGGAAGCGTTTCGAAGACTGGAGGAAGGCTTGGGAACCTACAACCACGATATCCTTTGTTTGGGTTTCTTGTTGAGCTCTGACGGGATTGATGAGTTTCTCGTTGTCGCGACATTGTTCGCGCTCCGTGCGGAAGGAAGCCAGATCTGGCCGGAAATTGAAAGTCGTAGGGATTTCGATCGAACGTTAGTGGCTTGCGCTTTCTGATCCGGTGGGCTTCTCGTTACATTTTTCTTCTAAAAAAAAGTATTTCCCTCTTTTGCCACCTTGTGTGCCTTCCAGGGCACTTTGGACAGGGTTATACTCACCGACAGCTGGAGAAATGGGCAGAGTGTGGCCTATCTTGATTATGCTTCTTAATTCGTGTATGGTTCTTCGGCGTTGTTACCGGTTGCTGCCGCAACGCTATTAGGGAGTTTTAGAATAACGTGCGCAATTTTAGCGCACGCTAGCGCTAAATTTAGCGCTTGTATTAGCGCCCGCGACGCGAGAGTGTTTTAGAATAGCGTTTCTCCGTCGCGACGCAAAAGCCCAAGCATCTCGCGCTTGCGACGCCACCAAGATACAGTCACAATTTTTATTTCGCACACGAAATGCTGTAACTTTAGAGAGAAACAAGTTTTTTGGTCCAGAGTACGATTTTAGATTTGTTTAAACACGAGAATGCGACGCGAGCGGTTGACCGGTCGTGCCCGCTTGCGTCGCCTCGGCAAGAGAGGTCTCGTGTACTGACCTTCGCACATCGTACCTTCGCCGAGAAGTGTTCGCGCGTCGCAAGCAACAAGTTGCCGCTGATCGTTGCCAAACCGAGTACAATTTCGTCTCGTATTGAAAATCCCAGTCGCGAGGATGCCGCCAACGTCGCACTCACGACACTGCCTCAGCAGCCGTCGACATAATCCTGGAAGTCGCCATTTTTGCTTAGCTCTGCTCGTCTTGGCTTTAGCCAACTTCTCATCATGAATCCTCCTTGGAGAAGCGCAAAGGCTCTTTGCGTACGCACGCTATTTCCGAGAAATAGCGCACGCTAAAATTGCGCACGCAAAGCGCAAAACCTGGTTTGCGTTCGGAGCATGCGCAGTGGCGACGACGCTATTCTTTGCGTGCGCAAAGCTTTAGCGTGCGTTATTCTAAAACTCCCTATTGACTGACGGGCGATACTTAGCTGCTTTGAACGCGGACCGCCCTGTGTTTCTTAAGCTAGCAATCACCACACACTCATCCTCAATCTACAGGGTGTCCCAAAACAAGATGTATAGTGTATCTCAATCCACAGGGTGTCCCAAAGCAAGATGTACGACCGATCATTATCCGCCCAAATGTAGCGCTAGCTGTCCGAATCAGATTCCAAGATTTCAGAAAGAAGTGTTATCTCGTTTTAAAGTGTTAGAAGCGATTTTTCTGGAAGTTTTAATAGGAAAACGAGACCCCTTTTCGCCGTTTTCGGTAACCGGCGCCATTGAGCTCTATATGTATTTCAGAGCTCCGTCGACCGCCATTTTCTGAAATTTCAGAGAATCGCTTGTAAATTTTGCATAAGGTAATGGTTAGCCTGGAAACTTTGGCGTCTGGTTCGTACCACTCGCGCTACATATGGGCGGATAATGAGCGTTCGGTGGTGCGTAATTTATTTGTATGGTAAATAAAACCCTGCTAACTTTTTGGGGGACGCCCAGTGTATCGAGTTCTGGGGCCCTATGCTACACTGCGGGGCCAAGCAGGACCAGGGGGCGGAGACGAAGCCGACTGGTGCGATATGTCTGCATCGCGGCGCAATTGCCAATCGCAGCAGCCGGCTTCGTCTCGGTCCCTTGGTCCCGCTTGGTCCCGCAGTGTAGCATAAGGCCCCTGGTTGTAGATCCCTTTTGCACTACTCCATCTCACAAGTAGGGTGTAACGGTATCAAACGGGACAGGTAAGTGGTGAATGTCGGCACAATGCTCCGCTTGCGCAAGCACTCGTGCAAGCAAATCACTGTCTGAAGCCACGCGCTCGCGTGCATTCGTCACTTATCGTTGCACGTAATTTTTCAGATGGAATATATGTGGTGTCATAGCTTCCTCTATACTGACAAATCCTGGCACATCGCCACGAGAAGCGGCCGCCGAAATTGAAAAGGTAGAGCGGCAGACAACGGATGATAGGAGAGCCACGTGACGGGCGCCCCGCTGCGGCGAGGCGCCGAAACACTTCTCCCCAGCGATGGAATGCCCGCTCGCCCTCCTGGCATTCCTCGCGCTACCGCTCCTTTTCTCGTCGGGTTTGAAAAGCATGTTTCGGGTCCTCGCCGCTGCAAAAGCTGTGCGCTGACGTCCAGGTCAGATGCTCGCGCTCGCGCTCCAAATCTGCGACCGGTCACTCTATGGCTCCGTCGTCGAACTGTCAGGATTTGTGAGTATAGAGAAGGCTATGGTATAAGTGTATAAACCAAAAAGAACTGAAAGCGCCAAGAAGGTTGAAGACGCGTGAAGAACGAAGACACCGCAGTGGCTCGTTTGTTATTGCGTCAGATGAGCGTATCACTAACGTATTCAGGACGCTCTGAGTTATGACCGCTGCTCTGATTTTCCCCCGAGCCACAAGGACCCCGATCCCATGAAACTGATTATGACGAAGTCGCACAAAGCTTGCGCCGATCACGAAAACACCGTGGTGCTTAGAATGACACATGGTGATGAAGTGAGATGCGACCAGATGATGAGGCAAAACCTGGATTATTGTAACCGCGTCCATGGGAATCAATAAAGCGTCTGTGTTACCTATTGTTTCGTGGGAAAATGACGCTTGAAACGTCTACAGCAGGCCAGTTGACTCGAAATGTAGGATTTGCGCTTTCGCGCAACTACAGGGTGCCGCCTGAAGAGACTCATTACTGATTGTAAGAGACGCCAGTGACATTGGGTGTACTATTAGGTTCGATTACGACGCTAAATGGAATTGTCGGAAGTCGTACTGCGAAGAGAAAGCGTTTGCGCTCGACCTGCCTTTTCTGTGGTTGTGTTTGCGCGCATTTCATTCGTGTCAATGGCGGCTCATGACGCGTTATTCATTACTGACGAGACCGGGAGTACGATCATTCAAGCACTCATAGCTTCACCTTTTTAAGGCGACGCCACCTACGGGATAGTGAGAAGGATCTCCGAGGGTTAAGAACTCCTCAGCGATCTCGGGAAATGGGTTTAGCCCCACTCGCCGTTTTTCTCAACACGCCACGCCGTGTCGCCGCTCAAAAGAACACGGCTCCCCTGCGCGGTCGGCTTTCCCACGATAAGCTCGTTACTGCGGGAAAGACAACCTTACGGGAACAAAACTGAAGCGCGCAAAAGAAACAAAAACGCAATGAGAAAATGACGTTGGCGTTTTTCTTTGTTACCTTCTCTTTACACCCCATTTGCCTTGTTTCGTTTTCAATCCATCGTGTTTTTTTTTATTATTATGTCTTGTTTTTTTTTTTCAAATTGCGTATTCGGCGACTAATCTGTCGTCCTAATGGCTTCCGATAATGGCTGGCGATCGAGATTATATTTTATGCAAATTGGATGTCGTCGTGCACCTGCTTGGGCAATGAAGGGAGAATGATGGCTCTTTTCTCTTCTGTCTCTCGGTGTTCACAGGACGGCAGCCGGGGAGACCTGGACGGTCTGGCGCGCCAGTACGCCGAGGAACTGAGGACGCACTTTCAGGATGTGCTCGAGAGGCTAGAGGAACTGCGCAGGCGCAGAGTGGCCGCCGACTTCGCCCAACTTCCGGTAAGTAGTTTTTTTTTTTTTTTTTTTTTTTTTTTTTTTGCGATTATTTTTGTCACGTACTGGGCTTCGGTTCTGATATCTTTTCAATAAAATTAGCTCCCTAGGGATCGTGCTAATTCGATTAAAGTGCAGCATCAAAAAGGTCTGCCTGCCATAAAGGAATTACCTTGTGATAGCGCTTAAGGCAACGTCCTGTAGTTATGACATTTTGCAGAGCGGGGTATTTAGTTAGAAAACTTGACACAGTTCGTGCAAATAAGCGACCGCGGGAATTGATTTCGTTCTTCTTACAATTGAAATGTGTTTCTTTTTTATTTTTCAAACTACCAGTGTGGCTAAACGTGCTCCTTTGGGACACCAACCCTAGAGGTAAACTTCGGTGCCTGTCAGTACCCTGTCTGAGCAAACTTTTTGTTCGCGGTGACTGTGTCGAGCAGTCAGTCTGCGCTCAGCTGACGCTCGAGGCTTCTCTCAGACAAACTTACATTGCTCTCTGATTTATAGAGGTGTCCATCCCAATAGGTTTGACTCATAAGTTAGTGGCAGCTGCTCTAGGTTTTCAGGTGGTCTTAAATACACTTGAAGTCAGACAGTAAATATCCGCGAAACCTCACGATATCTTTTCCTAAACTCTAAATCTTTGTTGCTTACCTGTTTTTGTTTGCCCATAGGAATAAAACAGGATGTTTGTCGTTTAAGTTGTTCTTCTCCCAACAGATAAGAAATAGATGTTTTTGTTGGAGTACACTATATGAAACAGACCCACTTTTTACGTTAGAACCGATGCTTCTTACCTTATCACTTGAATGAGGCTACCCCTTGGTTGATTTTTGTTCCTTATTTTTCTCCTTTTTTTGCAGGATGCTATTGACTATAGTTTGGGTTATAAGGCGCCTCGGTTTTACAGACCTGGCAAATACATGGTAATTCCTCTTGCTTGTTTTTATCATGCCATGTTCCTTCGGCTAGATATCTTGCTTTCGGTAGAAAAAGCCCGTTACACAACCGAAATAAAAAAAAGGGGGGGGGGGGAGGGGGAGCTAGAGGGGTTTTTAATTTAGTATTTTTAGCATAACATCCTGATCTATGTGCTGCGAAAAACAATAGAAAAAAAAAAAAACAGGTTACTACCCCTCGCGCTTTGCTCTTCTATCCAAAAGACGCAATACTATTTTTTATCGTTTCTCTTTTTAACGAGGAAAGAAACAGAACAGCGAAGTAGAACGTATCGCGTCTGGACGGCGCTCAACCATTTTGCTCCAGTCTTGCGCGTCTCCTTGCCCAACTCCACTCTATCTTTTGGACCAGAAGTGTGGTTTATTGGCACCAAGCACGTGGCGGTCGGCCGCGCCAGGAGGAATGAATTGTTGTCAACACTGTCAACCCTGACACGATCTCTTCCCTTTCTCTGCGTTCACTCATCCATTGCTCTCGGCTAAAGGGTATGCGGATAAGTTGCGGAATTTTTAAAACCCGTGATGAGTGTGCATGAAGTTAGAGCCGTCAAGAATATACCTCAGAAGCACGCACACACACAAAAAAAAGTCGAATCGGTATTTTTCTTAAAGGTTGTCCTGGCTTTTATTTTTAGCTTCGATTATTTATTTTTTCTTTAAGTTTAGTTTTGGCGGTAGGAATGCCGTGGGTATTTTATGAGCTAGGCATAATCGACGTGAGTTCAAATAGTAACCAGAAAGCCTTAAAATATACGTTTCTCTGTGTCTTTCAACGGAGGCTCGACAAATGTCAGCGTACTGAAGTTGCTTACGCGATTTTGTGCGTAAACAAAGCGTAAAATAAATCACACACACACAAAAAAAAAAAGCAGACGTGAGATTTAACGTGGGTTTAATCGCTGGCTCTGGCGCGATGTCCCGTCGGACGGTCGTAGGTGGCCGATTCTGTACCTGAAATGATATGCTGATTAAGAATGTGCTGCCCAAGGTTTTACTGATTTTTTTTTCCAGATATACCCCCTTTTATTTTATTTTATTTTTTCTTCTGAGAAACGTTTTTTCTTGTGGCTATGTTTTTCTCTCGTCTGTAAATATGTTATTCTGTTTTTAAATCCCTTCCTGCTATATTCGATGTCCGCCTAGCCTTTCTGTCTCGAGCAGTTTTTCAGCCTCTTTTTATTATGTTTTCTGATTGGCCATTGTACGATTATCTGAAAGCAACATTGCGCAATCCATAAATTACTTAGTTGTTTTTTTGTTTTTTTTTTTCACTTTTTTTTTTTCATTCCCGGTCAGCGAATCCGTTGGTGGCAGCCGTACGGCGTAAGTTGTTGAGAGTTAAAATAGCGAATTCCTAGGCATATATTCGAGACTCCTCTTGTGTACCTAATAAGCTATATCTTCACGAGTAGCTCTGAACCCATGGCATGTCACCAGGCTCGATAACCCCGTAATTCCTAAGCCGTCCATCGCTTCAGCCGATAATGGTGATCAAGGACCAATTGCGCGGCGAGAAAGTCGTCATTTTGGTTAACTACCCTTCATGTTTCTTAATAAGTTCTCTACGACTATAATACCGACAACCAACTCTATTTGCCACCTCACGCCAAGGTTTCTGACATAAAGGCATTCGGAACAATGGTAGCATTCACTAGCGGGAAATTTGTTTCCTTCTTGCGTTTTCGGATATTGCGCGGCTCGATTGGCCATTGATGGGTCGTGTCTGGAGGGAGAGCAACACTCTAAGAAATGCTCGGGTCTCCTTACCCGCAAAGAGCCAATCTCTGCGATTTACGAAATCATCTCAGCGAATGATGAGGCGGAACATCCGTTTAGACCTCAAAATTAACTCTGCGCTGTGGCATTACGCAATACAAAGCGTCATGCTTGCATTGCGTAATGCCACAGCGCAGAGTTAATTTTGAGGTCTAAACGGATGTTCCGCCTCATCATTCGCTGAGCTGATTTCGTAGATCGCATAGATTGGCTGTTCGAGTGTTTTGCGGGTAAGGAGACGCGAGCATTTCTTAGAGTGAAGGGTTTCAAAACGCTTCTTTGGAACATCGGAACGCGAGAAGAGGCACTTCAATCAGCGGGCAACATAAAGAGCGCACGAAGAACGAGCGATGACGAAGCAGCTACGCACGCGCTGTCATTGGTTAAGATCGGAAAGGGGGGGGGGGGGGGGTGGGGGGGTGGGGAGGAAGAGGGTTCAAAAGCATGTTGCTGCATTCGGAGTAAACAAACGCACGAGGGCGCTTTTCTGGTGGTTCACTAGGTTCACGAGTAAATTTGGATATTTGGCACACACTTGTGTCAGTTTTACGTTTGAGCGTAGCAGAAGTAACAAGAGCGAGCTGCGCGCTTTGCACGGGCTTGCCGAGCAGTCGCGTTTGATTGTCCTATGCAAGAATAGTTCCGAGGCAGCATGTTCTTGCTTGTAGGTTCGGCTTTGCTCGCACATGGCGAGACGCAAAGAGCTGTCTGCATATGTGCAGTACTTACAGTTTTGACGTCACCATACGCTCTTTCGTCAACGTCAGAGCTAGTGTTACCACCATGCCAGAAACGGGCTTCTGGCCAGCGCCATTTCCGCTGCGTTCGAGCGTATGGCGCGCATGCCTTGCTCGCTTTTCTCGGCGACACAGACGCGCTTGCTGGGCTGCTACGATCGCAGGCTGGGCTGTAACCTCGTGAACATTTGGAACGGTGTGTACGAGGAGCTGACATCTCGTGGGCCCGTTTCGTTTGTTGGTCGTTTCAGCCTTCCAGCTGCCTGAACGAACCAGAAGACGACACGGGCGGTGCCGATCCGTACGGGCTCTACGACGTCCGACTAGCCTCCTTCTCGGGGGCCGGCTCTCCGCAACGGTGAGTGGCGTCAGTCAAGTTGGCCTAGGGTTGGTGCCGTCGGTCTATCTGCCAATGGTGGGAAGTAAATTAAGCCTATCTTAACAACCAACCACGAAGCGTGAACCTAGAATGAGTCACGCCCTGCGTTTCCTATGCTGTCGGTAACCGCGCCAAACACATTCTGTGTAAAAAAAAAAAAGGATTAAAATGGTTGTGCATTCACTTACCTGCAGGGCACGCGAGGGTGGCCAATATGTGCGAACAGTGGAGAAAGATGGAAAATATGTTTATTGAGGATCATACGATATGGTGACTCGATCGTTTAGAATACATCAGCGCCGAAGAGATAAGAACACCATGCAGCGAATGATCGACGAAGTGTAGAATACAACTAAACATTAAAAAAGTCTTGTTCTTAGGGACGGCGGGAAAAGGAAACCTAAAGCTCATTGTCCTTGTTCACATCGCAATCGTCTGAGTTTCGGCATTCGCTGAGATCCTTGCATCGTTGGCATTGATTGGTTACCTACGTGCTCTAAAAAAAGTGACACCCACTTTTTTTTTTATTTTTAGAATGGGTGTTTAATTATGTTGGTATAGCTGCGACAACGCCCACGGGCATGGTACTGGCGCGCGGCGAGGCGTACGGGTAAACAATCTAATAGCGGTGTGTAGCCTGTCGGCGGCTGTTTATTGACCATCCGGATCGTATTTACTATATCGATGATTTTGGAACGGATACCGAGCACGGAATGCCGTTATTTATTCGCAACTTGCAAATTCTGGGAAAGGGGGTGAAATGTTTGTCCTCGTAACTTGAGATACTCAAGGTCAAGGAAACACTTCACTCCAAAATAATCCCCCCCCCCCCCCCCCCTAAAAAAAGGCTCTTTAATTTTTATTTAGTTGGAATTGGGTGCTCTCGCAAGCACCACAACAAAAAATTTTTTAGTGCCGTCGAGCTTGTACAGTTCAAATGCACGACGAACCGTCAAATGCACGACAAACAGTGTCCGTGTCACGGCAGCTTGATCGCTGCCACTTCGCTACGGCCTGTCACTTCGCCAGGAGAAGCATTAAAGTAAAGCTGAAGCACTTTTCGAGAAATCTGAGTTAGGAACGGGCTAGTATAGCTTTTTGTGCCGTGAATTCAGTTATCGCTCTTACCTTGGGCAGAAGTAAGCGTAAACAGCATTTATTTTGAAAAAAAATACGCGCAGCGCTTGTCACCGGGCACGCGACGATTCTTTCTGCCGCCTGTTGTCTGCCCATAGCGTCGTGACGTCATTGACGGCATCCCCGAGCCAGCCCTGTCAAGAGATCCCGCTGGTGACGTCACTTTTGCTAGTTTTTCTCTCAGCTCTCTCGCTTTCCTACCATATGCGCGCCAGAACGTGCGGGTCGACGTGAAATTCCAATTGGCTTTTTTGACGCTTCCACTTATAAGATCGAAATCAAACTTGAGAAAGGATTTTTAAGGTTTTGACATTACGACACTTACTGTTTGTTTAGATCCAAGGACTTCTTCAGCTTCCCTTTAAAATAGTGACCCAACGGAGTTTCCTGAGTTTGTCGCTGGTGGCGAGCGAGAAACAGCGGTCTCGAGCAATGATTTTGCGTTGTTCGGGCCTGGTTGCGCTCCAGCTCGTTCGATGCCAGAGCAGTCACCGTGGTGACCGGCGCTATTCAGCGTCACCAGGTTCAATGTCACTCACTGCGGCCGCCTTGAGCGTTACCCCCGGCAGCCACTCCGTAGGTCGTTCCTAGCGGAGCGGGAACGGGAATCAAGCGGCCGCGGGCCAACCCTCAAATGCGGAATTGCTGCCTTCGGTGGTGCTTTCATATCGCACACACTGTTGGAAGCGCCATTACAATCAGCAAACCCTATCCCTTAAACGAGCCTTTCTCTGGTGTGTTTCTGTCGATCGGGACCGCGCACTCGCGTTAGAAACAGTTGTGCCACGCAGGTCTAATTTCCCTTTCGCGTGCAGCGATGGAGCATGACTCCGAAGATAATGGGAGGACTGAGCTCGCGCTGCGTACACTTGGCGGCAGTCAAAGCATTTGCCTGTTTTGCCGGGACGGAGAACAGCTGTAAAGGGTGAACTATCAAGTCGCTGCTTTGTGCCACAGAATGTTCCTAAATGTCCCTCTGCGCCCACTCCCCGTCCCCAACTTTTTTTTATTAATGTATATAGCGTTGAACAATGAAGTTAATAGCAAAATATTGCTTTTTTTCTGGTCATTTTATTTTCGCGGCAGCTAACGTAGACATTCAGATGTTCTGATTACTATGAGACACACCTACGAATTTCTTCGTTTGTGTAGCTTTAAACGTATCTTAACTATAAATTGTTATTTCCTGCAAAGACGTCGCCGCGTAATAAATATTAGCTTTCAACTCGTATTATTTTTGGTGTCCGAAAACCATAGAAAACGCTAGACGATTTATGTCCTTGCATTGGGCAACACCAAAAGTCATCTCGGATCTAGCGTTCCCCCGTTTCCCAACTGACCTTCTGACATCTCGGAAAGGTTGCAGCGGCCAACGCTCGCTTCATTGATCCGCCGGCATAGGCGACGATGACGACTACAATGATGATGATGATCGCAGCGCTTACCACGCCTACCCCGCGCTCTGCCGGCGCGCTCTCTAACTATTTGTAGGCAAGGAAGCTGAGCGGACGGAGAGGGGGATCCGAAGAAGTCTCATTTCCCTTCTGATTGGCCCATTTAGTCGCCTTGGTAACGGCTGGCGGTTGCTTGGATTGCCGCGCTTCGTTTCTTTCGACTGAGCGAGTGGTACTCTGTTTCTCTAGGTGTCTACATCACTTTTGTAGCAGGAAAGAACCCGCATCCATTGGAGTGTCGGATTAATGAGTCGTTTCGCGCTACAAAGCTGAGCTTCACTTTTTCTTGTGCGTACCAGTTTTTTTTTTCTTTATCGTTTTATATTTTGTTTCATTCGGTGTTGTGCCAAATACAAAAAAAAAAGTGTTTAAGTTACCGAATACCCATTTGAAAATGTATTTAGAGTTCTATCAAGTTACTTTTAGCATAAACTATCTTGAGTAGGGTACAAATATCTTGAAAACGTAATTCAATTGCATTCCAATATATTTTTCAAGTTTTCCAAGCTCGTGTAGTACAAGAATGAAATGTCAGAAAGGAGTGCTCTATTTGTAATGACTTTTTTGAAAATCACATTCTTCTATGATCTTCAAGACCTCCAAGAAGCGCTTTAGCGGCTGCAATTGATGTTTACCCTGAAATAAATCGGGATACGCAACATAATGCGTGCCGAAATGTTTTAGGAACAAGCGGGGCTCGTGTATTGTAGGCATGACACCTGCCGTGCTTTAGTTTGACGGCATGCTCCGCTCATGGCGCATTCCGCAATAAGTTCGTCATATCCCCCGCCGCGATTCGGGGGACTTGGCATGTAGTCCGGCATTGTATATCCCCAACAATCGAACTAGAAGTCGATCAGAAAGCCAGAGTTGTTGATGAGTACGCGACTGAACGACACACGCCCCCGCTCAGGAGAGACATCGACTCGAGAACAGCTGTCGCTGAATAACAATCAAGGGTGAGTACTTTGTCCCCCTCAGTCAAAAGCGAGGAGCACCTATACCTTCAAACCGTAAAAAAAAACAAAAAAAAACAAAAAATTAGGAACGTCAAGAGGGAAACACAGGAGAAGGTATACAAAACCGCTTCTAAACCCCGTTTCCTGCCCCTTTCCTTACCAGTTAGAAGCATTGTTGACGCACTGAGGCCAAGATGATCAAGATTTCAGGATCGGAATTCTCTAGGTTATAAATAGGGTTCCGCGTTTTCGGTTTTTATTTTTTCAAAATTCGGCGTACTTTTTTCGGTGTTTATTTTAAAATTTGATTTTCGGTTTTTTTCGGTGTATATTCACCCTCAAAAAATTTTACCGTTTTGTTTCGGTGAACATGAAAGAAACACTATCGGACACGGGATCAGATGATCACTCAAAGAATAAAGGCACATATATATGCGTGGTCTTCACTACAACTTCAGTCAGGACACACCTCAAAATTGCCGAATTCGCGGGCATAATCTTCAGCACGCTTTTTTTTTTTTCCTTCCCATTCTGACGGCGTGACTGTCTGAGGTGATGACCGTACAAAAACCAGTAAAATGGCAAGACAAAATCTATTGTTTTTATGTTTTTAACCACAGGGAAGTTTGAGAGAGGGTGATAAGAAGGTATCAACGGCTTTCCTCGATGTCTTCTGAAGTGCATGACACCCGAACCTTTTTTAAGAACAGGGATTTGACAAACTAAGCCCGATCACAGAAAGGACACAGATGTCCCGCGAAAGCCAATCAAAGACCTCTTTTGTTTCATGTTGAACCTTGGAAGAAGGCAATTACGAAGACGTCACACAATGTCGAACCTTGCAAAGCCCTCTCTCCCCTCCCCGCTCCCCCACCCACCTCGATGCGGCCCTAAGAAACTAACCGTTTTTTATTTATAACCGAATTTTAGAAAACGAATTAGACGTCCTTTTATCGGTTTCAACGTAAAACGCTGAACCTACAAACTGACCTTTTTCGGTTAAAACCGAATTTCCAAAAATTAATTCGGCGTACTTTTATCGGTTTTTATCGGTTTAAACCGAAAACTCCGAACCCTAGTTATAAATGACTCCACCAGGCGAAAAATTGGTTTCGCGGATTTTGAGGACGAAATAATGCGCGCATTTGGAAGGAGATGGAAGAAACGCTTTTGAACGAGCTTCGGGGAAAAGGTTACGCCATAGTAGGCACACAAGGAGCTTATTATGAAGCTTAATCTAGGTCACTGCAGCCCAAGAAAGCCAGCAGGGTCTAGCTTTTTTTGGCAGAGGGAGGGCCTGTGCTCACATGAAAACGTTTTCGCGCATTTCCATACTGGAACTCCATGAACCGGCGATTTCCGAAGATGATTCATTGTGATTGTACCGAGCGTTGGAGTCGCAATCCTTTGTTTACGGAACCACTCAAGC